CCCCCCCCGCTATCGGCCCGACAATTACTGTCATTACTGAAGATAACAATCTACTTCAGAGTTCTCCCCTTTGCCGTGACATTCACATTGTACTCGTCCTGCGTCTTCTCTGTGTGTTCTGTATACTGTGGGGACCTCTATTATTAGAAGTTTTAGACTTTACCTCATGTGACCTCCCCGCTGGAGCTGTAGGTTCGGTGTCCCCGAGAAACCATTTCGGTCCCTCTTGGTACCCATAGCAGAAATGTTGCGTACAATCCGTTCCGTCACAATGTCCTCCCTCAGACTGATGTGGAAGGATCAGCCTCCATTATAACCAGCTGGGGCAAGTCTCTAAACTGAGCTCTTCACATAAAGAAACCGTTAACTATCACATTCCCTTTACAACTCGAATTCTTCCATTTCTAATGGGCCCTAAAACCAGTTGTATCCCTAACCCTGGCCCCATCCTCCTCTGCTACATACAACAGGACTATAGGAACAGTGTCAGGCCTCTGCCCATTCAGGACAAAGTGACCGTGTCTTTGTAAAGCTCCCCCACAACCGTACCCCTGGTACTCGCTTTGCTCCCCTCTGATCCTGCCCCTGCTAAAACCCCGCTGTTGGCTGCTGTCGGACACTAAGGGGAGCTGCGCCATTTCACATCTGGTCATGCGACCGTGTTTGGGCCTAGCAAGGAGTATTTCACATGCCAACAAGGGCGAGAGGAGCGAGGGAGCCGTGGTGAGGTAGGGTAAGCGTCTTCTCCAGATATTGTCGTTTTTGACCTGGATGGCCATGGTAACAATGTCTCATTAAAGCTCAACATATTCCGAATAATGAACTTCATAACCTCACTGCCCCCGGTAGCTGCAAGCACGATAGCGCTACTTTAAGGTTCACTGTACCAAAAAAATGTACCTGACCCATTTTCAGTGAGCACATCGCAGTCCGTTCCCAGTATTACCATACAGCCATACCGTAAGGAATCTCCAGTGTAGGGTCAATGTGGTGTTACTAATATTGCCCTAGAGCCATACAGTAAAGAATCTCAGGAGTGGAGTCCATGGAGAGTTCCCGGTATCATCATATAGAATCTCAGGCATAGGTTCCATGGAGACTTACTGGTATTGCCATATAGAATCTCAGGAGTGGGTTCCATATAGAATTCCCAGTATCACCATATAGAATCTCGGGGGTGGGTTACATGGAGAGTTCCCGGTATCTCCATATAGAATCTCAGGATTAGGTTCCATGGAGAGTTCCCGGTATCACCATATAGAATCTCAGGATTGGGTTCCATGGAGAGTTTTTGGTATCACCATATAGAATCTCAGGATTGGGTTCCATGGAGAGTTTTTGGTATCACCATATAGAATCTCAGGATTGGGTTCCATGGAGAGTTCCGATGTTACGTAGATATGAAGCTTTGCCTGGCGTAGTATGGAGAATGTTGCTGGAAGGGGGGGGGTAAGTATTTTACAAGGAGTGCGGCATTCAGGGGGTCTCTGTATACGCTATATACTCCGCTGATCATTTGGACTTGTTGCTGACCCAATATCAGGTGAGCAGATCTAGGTTGTGATCTTCGCTCGTGTTTCGGGTCTGGATTAGCATGGCTACTCGAGTTTTCTGAAGCAGGGCAACAGTTGCCGGTATTTTTCTTATGACGGGTCTCCTGTAAGATGACCATATGGGGCAGTTATTAGACGGGAAACCTTGCTGCGCTGGAACAACCTTTTTATATTTGCTGCCCACGAGGTAGAAACCATAAAAAAACAAAAGAAATCCCCAAAAAGTTGATAGAAAACCTCTACTGAGTGCAGCTACCTAGAGATGGACCTCGAGCGGCGTTTCTGGTCAGGTCACGTCCTCGTACACTAGATAGACCTCGAGCTGCGTTTCTGGTCAGGTCACGTCCTCGTACACTAGATGGACCTCGAGGTGCGTTTCGGGTCAGGTCACATCCTCGTACACTAGATGGATCTCGAGCTGCGTTTCGGGTCAGGTCACGTCCTCATACACTAGGTAGACCTCGAGCTGCGTTTCTGGTCAGGTCACATCCTCATACACCTAGATGGACCTCGAAGTGCGTTTCTGGTCAGGTCACGTCCTCATACACTAGGTAGACCTCGAGCTGCGTTTCGGGTCGGGTCACGTCCTCATACACTAGATGGACCTCGAGCTGCGTTTTGGGTCAGGTCACGTCCTCATACACTAGATGGACCTCGAGCTGCGTTTCTAGTCAGGTCACGTCCTCATACACTAGGTAGACCTCGAGCTGCGTTTTGGGTCAGGTCACGTCCTCGTACACTAGATGGACCTCGAGCTGCGTTTTGGGTCAGGTCACGTCCTCGTACACTAGATAGACCTCGAGCTGCATTTTGGGTCAGGTCACGTCCTCGTACACTAGATGGACCTCGAGCTGCGTTTCGGGTCAGGTCAGGTCCTCTTACACTAGGTAGACCTTGAGCTGCGTTTCGGGTCATGTCAGGTCCTCTTACACTAGATAGACCTCAAGGTGCGTTTCCAGTCGGGTCACGTCCTCACACTTTTCACTTATTTTTCAGGTATCGAAGCAGGAGGAATTTTTTAACCTGACCCGCTGTCAGCTGGTGAACCTGATTAGCCGCGATGACTTGAACGTGCGCTGCGAGTCTGAGGTCTTCCACGCTTGGTCAGGTCACGTCCTCGTACACTAGATGGACCTCGAGCTGCGTTTCTAGTCAGGTCACGTCCTCGTACACTAGATAGACCTTGAGCTGCGTTTCTGGTCAGGTCACGTCCTCATACACTAGATAGACCTTGAGCTGCGTTTTGGGTCAGGTCACGTCCTCATACACCTAGATGGACCTCGAGCTGCATTTTGGGTCAGGTCACGTCCTCGTACACTAGATGGACCTCGAGCTGCATTTTGGGTCAGGTCACGTCCTCGTACACTAGGTAGACCTTGAGCTGCGTTTTGGGTCAGGTCAGGTCCTCATACACTAGGTAGACCTTGAGCTGCGTTTCGGGTCAGGTCACGTCCTCTTACACTAGATAGACCTCAAGGTGCGTTTCCAGTCGGGTCACGTCCTCACACTTTTCACTTATTTTTCAGGTATCGAAGCAGGAGGAATTTTTTAACCTGACCCGCTGTCAGCTGGTGAACCTGATTAGCCGCGATGACTTGAACGTGCGCTGCGAGTCTGAGGTCTTCCACGCTTGTATCAACTGGGTGAAGTATGACTGTGAGAACCGGCGACCCTACATCCAGGCTCTGCTCCGTGCCGTGCGCTGCCATTCGCTCACCCCCAACTTCCTGAAGCTGCAACTCCAGCGCTGTGAAATCTTACGAGGAGACACCCGCTGCCAGGACTACCTGTCCCAGATCTTCCAGGACCTGACTCTGCACAAACCTACGGGACCTCCTCAGGGGAGGATCCCCAACGTTCCGCAATTCATCTACGTGGGAGGGGGTTACTTCCGGCAGTCACTCAACTTTATGGAGGCCTACAACCCCATGGAGGGCGAGTGGCTGAGCCTGGCTCCGCTGGAGACGCCTCGGAGTGGCCTTGCTGGGTGTGTGCTCGGGGGTCTCTTTTATGCCGTGGGAGGCCGCAACAATGCACCCGACTGCAATGAAGACTCCAATGCCCTGGACTGCTACAATCCCATGAACAACCAGTGGTCTCCATGTGCGCCGATGAGCGTGCCCAGGAATAGGGTGGGCGCTGGAGTTATAGATGGCCAGATTTACGCCGTGGGTGGATCTCATGGATGTCTCCATCATAACAGCGTGGAGAGGTGGGTGCATTCACAATATGGGTGCTATCTGCATGTGGAGAGGTGGGTGCATGGATGTCCTCTGCATGTGGAGAGGCCTGTGCAATAATAATATGGGTGCTTGGATGTGGAGAGGTGGGTGCATTCACAATAGGGGTGCATGGATGTGGAGAGGTGGGTGCATTCACAATAGGGGTGCATGGATGTGGAGAGGTGGTTGCATGGATGTGGAGAGGTGGGTGCATTAACAATAGGGGTGCATGGATGTCCTCTGCATGTGGGGAGGTGGGTGCATGGATGCTATCTGCATGTGGGGAGGTGGGTGCATGGATGTCCTCTGCATGTGGGGAGGGGGGGGCATGGATGTCCTCTGCATGTGGGGAGGTGGGTGCATGGATGTCCTCTGCATGTGGGGAGGTGGGTGCATGGATGTCCTCTGCATGTGGGGAGGTGGGTGCATGGATGTCCTCTGCATGTGGGGAGGTGGGTGCATGGATGCTATCTGCATGTGGGGAGGTGGGTGCATGGATGTCCTCTGCATGTGGGGAGGTGGGTGCATGGATGTCCTCTGCATGTGGGGAGGTGGGTGCATGGATGTCCTCTGCATGTGGGGAGGTGGGTGCATGGATGTCCTCTGCATGTGGGGAGGTGGGTGCATGGATGTCCTCTGCATGTGGGGAGGTGGGTGCATGGATGTCCTCTGCATGTGGGGAGGTGGGTGCAGTAATAATATAATTCATGATATGATGATGTATGTGTTCCTTATCGCTAGGGAAGCAGACCTGATGGGGAACTAGTCTCTCAGACTTCCCGTCAGGCTCTCCCCACTCGCAGGCAACGTCTTTGGGACTACCTATGTGACAGGCGCAGTGGCCGGGCAGGGAACTCGGTGACTTTATCACGCTCGGTGTTACTGAGCTGCATGGAGGATGTGAGTGTCTGGTATTGACATCTCCGGCCTCAGTGGGACTCGGCAACACAGCATTCTAATGAGTGTCGTAGAACAAACTAAAATAAGTTGTAGTTTCCCTTTCAGGGAGCAGGTGGG